CTCACCTAGTCACCATAGGCCTCACTTTTCTCGGCTCTCCAATGTGAGGGTTGAAATCAACTATTTCTAATCTGAGTCCAGAGAGTCTCTAGAGTCTTCGCTCTTAGGCTTTGAATTGGTGTCAGGAGCCCAGGGTCCAAATGAAAAGTTTCTGTTCTCACTGTGAGCTTGGGGCTTCATCTGGCAGATCAGGAAATGTGGGAACCCAGCAGCCTTCCCTCCTCCTCCATTGTGCCCCAGGGCGGGCCCTCAGAACCAGCCAAACAGTCCTAACGACGTGGAGTGAGTACCACCTTGTGATTGAAGAAAATGAAACAAGAGCGGCAACGGTGCCTCAGTTTCTCCATAAAATGTAGCACGGAAACATCTAGAACAAAGTGTTTCTAAGAGATCTCTGAGCCCTTCCAGGCTGTTGTGCCTTTCTGTGTTTGTTCCAGGGGAGTGGGGCAGGGCAGGAAAAGGGGAATGAGGGAGGGAAGTCAGGCCCCTCCCTAGGGGCCTGTAGGGAAAGGTCAGCCCAAAGTGCCCTGGCATCTTTGAGAAGTCTTGCTCGCTGTGTGTGTGTAAAGAACATGCTTGATCTGGGCAAGGGCTGGTAGAAGCCAGGCCACCCCCCTTGCACGTACGGCTTTGCAGGATTTCACGTGAATTTGAAAGAATCAAGTTGCCTTTTTCATTTAGGCAATTATTTTTATAGCCCACATGTTTCCTTCAATAATCAAACCTAACAGCTAGTTTGTCAGCACTGAGTAGTAGGTCATGAACTTGAGTTGGCCTGATTTGTAGGAGGAAAGAAATTCCTCTTCGTTAGAGAGGCAGGTCTGGCTCGTGCCGTTGGCTCGTGCCGTCGGCTCGAGCTGCAGTCTTTGATCCTTGATTTTCCCATCTGTAAACCAAGTTCAAAAATACCCGCCGAATCCCTGGGGGAGAGGGTGCTTCACAGGGACACAAAGTCACAATTGCCCTTTTCAGACACCTGCTTTGGGAACCCACTCATGGCTCTGGTGTTCCGTCCATACCCACCCACACCCCTGTCTGTCACCACAGGCTTCTCTATCTGAGATGTGCAAAGAGATCCAGACAGGACCAGTCAGCGCTGTGTGCTGCGTGCTGCCTCCTGACCAGCCTGTGTGACACCATCGGGGCCATTCTGGCCAGACAGCTCACGATCCAGGTGCGTCAGGCCCACAGGTGACAGTGGCTTCTGTCTGCTTCCATCACCATCAAGGTGCGGTTTCGCCTCATGCCTGTGTCCTTGTTGGTGTTTCTGCCCCCGTCCAGTGCTCCTGCCCTGAGAGCCACATGGCTCACTGCTCATCTCCTTCGAGGCTTTGCTCAGAGGTCAGCTTCTTGGTGAGGCCTCCCCTGAGCACTCCCGTGAAGCCGTGCCCTACCTCTACAGCAGGGGCTCCAGACCCCTTCACCCTGCTCTGTTTTTTCCCATAGCTGACCCCCCCATGCACCGTCTGTTTTCCTTACTTCTTATGCTTATTGCTTCTGGTCTGTTAACCCCTACTAGAGGGTCAGCTCCCCAGGGGCAAGAATTTGTATTCACTACCTTATCCCCATGACTTCAAACAGCAGCTGGGACAGAGTAGATGCTCAGTAAATAGTGATGGTTGTGGTGATTATTTTTAGAGCCTGGAGCCCAGCCCCAGCTCAACAGGGCTGGCTGAAGGCTTTCCCAAGTGGTGATGCAGGCTCTGGGGCAAGTGAGAAACAGTGTCAAGCTTTCCCAAGGTCTAGGCCCTCAAACCTGTGGAGAAGGGGCCTATCCCAAGGGCATATGCACTGCAGAGGCCCCTCATGGGCTGGTGCCCACCCAGGTAGATGTGACAGAAGGCAGCCTCGTGGCTGCAACACACACTGGGAGAGTTCGAGACCCTGCTTTGAATAATATTGTCTCACAAACAAACCACCTTTCATTTTGGGTGCCCATTCTCATTAGCTGATGGAATATAGTGACACCCAGCTCCATCCCGGTAATAATAGCTGATGTTTATTAAATACTTCACTATGGGGGTGCCTGGGTGGCTCAGTCATTAAGCGTCTGCCTTCCACTCAGGTCATGATCTCAGAGTCCTGGGATTGAGCCCCGCTCAGGCTCCCTGCTCAGTGGGGAGTCTGCTTCTCCCTCTGCCCCTCCCCCCAACTCATGTGCACCCTCTCTCTCAAATAAATAAATAAAATATTTTAAAAATAAATAAATACGGGCGCCTGGGTGGCTCAGTTGGTTAAGCGACTGCCTTCGGCTCAGGTCATGATCCTGGAGTCCCGGGATCGAGTCCCGCATCGCTTCTCCCTCTGACCCTCTTCCCTCTCGTGCTAATCTCTCATTCTCTCTCTCTCAAATGAATAGGTAAAATCTCTAAAATAAATAAATAAATAAATACTTCACTATGTACTTGGCACTGAGGGCTCGTCTCATAGGAGTTCATTTAATACTCGAATTATCTTATGACCTAGGCTCTCTCTTTATCCCTGTTTTACACATGTGGACACTCGGGCTTAGAGGTTAAATAACTTTTTTTTTTTTTAAGATTTCATTTATTTATTTATTTGACAGAGAGAGAGAGCACAAGCAGGGGGAGCATCAGGCAGAGGGAGAGGGAGAAGCAGGCTCCCCGCTGAGCAGGGAGCCCGATGCGGGGCTCGATCCCAGGACCCTGGGATCATGACCTGAGCCGAAGGCAGACGCTTAACGACTGAGCCACCCAGGCGCCTGAGGTTGAATAACTTTTATAAGGTCCAGTAAGCAGCAGTGCCAGGAATCAAACTGCTCTTTTTTTTTTTTTTTTTTTAATTTATTTTGGAGAACACGCTCATGAGCTGGCGGGGAGGGGGGTGGGGGGGACATGTGGGCAGGGCAAAGGGAGAGAAAGAGGGAGAGAATCCCAAGCAGACTCCACGCTGAGCACGGAGCCCCACTCAGGACTCGATCCCACGACCCTGAGATCAGGACCTGAGCCGAAATCAAGAGTCGGACGCTTAACCGACTGAGCCACCCAGGTGCCCCTCCAGAGACTGCTGTTAACCAGTGACTCGACTGGCATAGTGGCTGGTGCATTGGTAGGTAGGAGCCTTGTCCGTTCCTCCAGGTGCTGGTCTGAGCACTTTCCATGTATTGGTTCATGCAATCTGCTTAGCATGGAGGGAGGCACTGTTACTGTCCCTGTTTTACAGAGGAGGAAAGTGAGGCCCAGAAAAGGTCAGTGGTTGGGCCAAAGTCACACAGAAGAGGCTGGCCGTGCGCTGGGAAGAGTGCGGAGTGAGAAGTGGAGGGCTGGCTCTGCTGGTGGGCCTCTGCCTAAGGGATCGGTTATTCACGCGCCCCACCTCCTCGTCAGTCAAATAGAGTTGATAACCAGCCTTTCCTGGGGCCAGTAGGCGTCTTTGCCCGGGAGCACCACATCAGTGGGAGAGGAGGCCCAGGATGAGAGGTGCTGTGGTCACTGGAGAACGTTCGAACACCAAGACTGTATCTCCTTTGCTCCCAGGTATTCACGGGTGCCTACCTAGCAGCTGTTGACTTGGTGAACTTTGTCTTCATCCTTTTCCCCATCTGTGGCTGCAGACTGAAGTCTCACTTGGGTGAGTGTGTGGCCTTCTGTTCCTGTGTGCAGCACCCACTCTTTCGTAGGCGTGCTCAGTGCCTCCTCCTTGTCACGTCTGAGCTGGGCCCCTGCCGGGTGCAGACAAAGGAATGAGCTCCCTGACCCCAGCCAGAGAAGAGAGGCAGGGCCCTAAAGAGTCATGGGTTCTGCTAGTGAAGCGGTGCACGCACGCCATGCGCAACCGGAGGGAAGGATGTGACCGTGGAACGGGGACCGCAGGGAAGGGTACTCCAGGTGAAAAGAACAGTATGAGCAAAGGCCAGGAGGTGGGGTGGTACAGGCTGTGGGAAGGAACAGTGATATCTCAGTGTGCGAGTCCAGGATGGCCAAACAAAGCTCCGTAACTTCTGGAAATGGATGCCAGAAGTGGGTGTGGGCCACCTCGGGCAGGGAGTCACTGAGCTGGGATGGGTCACCCTGACTCTGCGGGACTGGGCCTTCCTGAGAAGGGGCAGCAGTGTGCCCAGACCCTTGTCCAGAAAGGGAGTGCTTGCATCAGTGGGGTAAGGTAAGGTGCCCCCAGCTGCTCAGCACTGCCCAGAGGAGCCATGTTCTTACTAGAATTTTCAGAGGACTATCTGTCTTATATTTCAAGGAGACTTCCAAGACCGTGCTCCTTTTTCGCTCACAGTTTTGGGCCCCAGCACAAACACATTGATGCATGGTTGTGCCGGCTCTGCTCTGTGCCAGGCTCTGCGGAGCTTACAGAAGCTGGGTTGACAGCTGGTTTTCACAGGCTGCAGTCTGTCGAGTTCTAGATCCTAGAGCCTGTGGCATTGTGGTGTTTGTTGCAGGTCGGGGCTCCCGGGAGAGGAAGAGGGGGCGGCGGCTCAGGGCCAGTGTATTTGCTCTGGCCCTGCCGCTGAGCCTGGGGCCAGGCTGGGTGCTCTGGGCCGCCGTCCCAAAGGCTTCAGGCCCCATCCGAGGGCCCCAGCGGAGGCTGCTGGAAAGCCTGCTGCAGGTGAGGCTGAGCCCAGAAGGACGTGGGGGTGTGCGTGTCCCTTCCCTCCTCACGGTCCCAGCAAATGCCCTGGGTAGGGATAGGGTTTGGGCTTGCCGTGGTTGGGAGGAAACTACTAAAATTGGGAAAGGATGGGTCTGGGATGCCTGGGCTGTCTCCTCAGGGCGCTGAGCGTGTCGCCTACTCCTGCAGGACAATACTGAGATCCTCGGCTACCTGCTGGGTGGCATCGCTGCCTTTGGCTCCTGGGCTTCCCGGATCCCCCCGCTCTCCAGAATCGTGAGGCTGGGTCGGGGCTGGGACTGTGGGTCACCATGGCAGGTCTTAGGGCACCTGGGAGCATCTTCCAAGCTCCAGGTCCTGGGGTGGAGGGTTGTGTCACATGTGTATCGTGTGTGTGTGTGTGTGTGCGCGTGTGCGCACGTGCAGGGGCTGGGCAGCCAACCCACGGGAGCTCATGGGGCCTGCTAGAGCCTTTCCCAGGACAGCCCATTGTGTTCTCTCCATAGCAAAGAAAAGCAGGCTCTCAGGAAAAAGGCCCTGGCGTTCGGTAAACGAACATCCCATCATTAGGAAGTGAGACGGTTTCAGAGGAGAGCATCACACGCTGCCGGGCTTCTGTGTATTCGGGAGCACCTCCCCACAGAAACTTCCCGGGCATCCAGGCTGAGGGAAGCCCTGTGTTGGCCGGTTCCGCAGGGGACGCAGCCGTGACTTGAGATGCTGTGCTTGCCCTTGGGAAACTTACAGTCTCCTGGAAAGATGCAGAAATGCAATGCAGGATATTTTAATGCTCTGACAAGGATAGAATCAGATGTTTGGGGTTTTGGAGGAGGGAGAAGAGGCTCTCACGCTATTCACATGAGTGAGGGTGAAATGGTCACACCACCAGGCGCGGGGGAGGCCGCCTCAGCTTGGCTCCGAAGGGAAGGTGGGCCTGGAGGAGGCAGAGGTGAGGGGAAGCGGGGAGCCCCCGGGAAAAGCCACCGAGGCCGGAGAGCTGCTGCGGAAGAGCAGGATATCGTGGGTGTGCAAACCTGCTCTGCTGTGCCTGGCAGGCCTCGCTGACAGGAATAACGGCCAGGCCTAACACTGGAAACGTAACGGGCTCCTCGCTGGGGCTAAAAAAAAACATCACTTGCCCCAGAGCATCATTTCATAGCAGTTCCAGGAGAACAGGAATCGGGGGTGGCAGCGCTTCATTGGTCATTTGTGGGAAGCGGAAGCCTGTGTCGTGCTGGCCAGGAACCCGCTGGGGCATGCCGCCCCCAGATCGGGGGAGGGGAGCGTGGGGAGCCCCTGGGACGCGGGGCTCAAAGACCTTCAGAGGGACTGGTGCGTGCCTGGCTGTATTAGTTCCCTGGGGCTGCCGTAAGAAAGGTTCACAAACTTGGGACAACAGAAACGGATTGTCTCAAAGTACTAGAGGCCGGCAGACCAGTACCGAGGTGTCAGCAGGGCCATGCTCCCCGTGAAGGCGCTAGGGAAGGAGTTCTTTCAGGCCTCTTTCCAAGTTCCTGGAAGATCCTTGGCCAATGGCTCCGTAACTCCAGGGTTCACACGGCATTCTTTCTCCCTGTGTGTGTCCTCATGTGGCCGTCCTTCTGTACGTGTCCAGGCCTAACTTTCCCTTTTATAAAGACACGGTCATATTGGGTGAGGGTCCACCCTAATGACCTCATCTTAACGAGGTCATTTGCAAGGACCCTGTTTCCAGACAAGGCCACGTTCACAGGCTCTGGAGGCTGGGACTTCAGCATCTTTTGTGAGAGGGGAAAACAAGTCAGCCCCTAACGCCACGCACCTAACATAGCCCCACGCCTGTGTCCTTCCTCCCGCTTCGTTTTATTCACAGCGTTTGTCACAGGCTGAAACTAGCTCCTTCAGGTATTGACCAAGTTGTTGGTCCCCAGTAGAACGTGAGCGCCCTGAGGGCAGTGGTCTTGTCTGTTCTGTTCCCCTCTGTATTGCATGTGCTTGGAGCCTGCCCGTGGTAGGTGCCAGCAGACACTTTTTAAAGACTTAATCTGGTCTGGGACAAAGGAAGCTCATGGATGCAGGAATTAGAACGGTTTTCTCGGGGCAGAAAGAGCAGCCCTGTTCTCTGTGGTCTAGGGGAAGAGAACTGAAACCAAGACTGGAAAGAGGTTATTGGGGGGGGGCCACGTCCCATTTATAGGTCATATGCTTTGCATAGTTTCTGGAATGTTGAAAGCGATCAGTATTGTTATTTCCTGTCTTAGGAGGTAGTGGGCTCCCCATCGCTAAAGGCATTCAAGCCTGATGGCCCCTTGGCAGGCAGATAGAGTTAGATCATGTTAGGGATTAGATTGGGCAATCTCTGAGGTACTGTCTCTGGTCCCACGAAGAAGAGCCCAGAGCTAGGATCCCCTTACTAGGGAGAAACTCAGCAGGGTTTGGGGTGTTCTGGGAAGCCTAGCCAGCATGGCTGTGAAGCCTAGATTCCCCTCCAGAAGCTGCTTCTAATTTACCCCTGGTGGGGGCGCTGAGGAGCAGAATGGTTGGGTGGCTTTGGTGGAAGAAGTCCCCCTTCTTCCAGGAGGGACGCGCCCGCTGACCAGTACAGCCTATGCTGGCAGCACTGGGACGGGTCGCCGTTGCAGGAGCTGAGGCACGGCTTGCTTCCAGCCCCCAGTGCAGATTTGCCAGGCAGCCCTCTGGCTGAACATCCCTGTCCTGGGTTCTGTGTGACCAGCCAGACAAAGCCCGCATGTGCTGGACCTGCCTTATCTCGAGTCACCGAGCCAACCCCAGGCTATAGCGGTTGCTCAGCACCTACGGCGTGTCCAGTGTGCAGGCAAATAGAGCCCCATAGGCCCTAGTACTGACCACGAAGGGAGATTGAGTTTTAAAGTCAGTGCGCACCGGGAATGGGTTGGCACGTGAGTGACAGCAGAGAGCTCACCCAGCTTGAGCTGATCCAGAGCAGCTGCAGGTGCAAATTCAAGAGGCAGAAGGCAGGTCCCAGCCCTGGCCCTGCAAGTCACCTCCCCTCTCGGGCCATCAGTGTCCACAGTAAATGGGGGTGGGCAGGCTGGGGGATCCCGAGGACTTCCCATCACAGCAGTGCTGGCTGGGACAGAGCTGCTTCCTGGGCTGAGTCAGGTGCAGCCGGCAGGTCAGGGACCACCCTCCCCAGCCTGGGTGCTGGCTGTCTTTATGAACCATTCTTCAGGGCGTGGCCAAAAACAAAACAGGGAGCCCCGGGAACAAAACTTGAACAAATGCAGAGGGAAACAAAACTCCCAAGGAATCTTTTTGAGAGTTAAAATAAAAATGGGGAAAATCAGCCAAACCTTTTTCCTCTGAATTTTTTTCATTCTCTAGCCAAGGCCTGTATATCTCTAAATATAATTATTTAATAAGTAAAATGAATTGTATGTAATTTATATTTATCTAAGTTTAAATATGCCATGTGATTATATATAATTGAAAATATATAGTATTTGTGTATATACATATAAATGTATACATAAAGTGACTTCATACCTGTAAAGGGTACTTAACATATAAATATTGAAAGTGGCTTTTTTGGCTTTTGTTTTGTTTTGGTTTTGGTTTTTTTACCCAATATTGTCATTATTCATTCTCCAAAAATATCCCCTGGCTTCAAAACTTCCAGAATGTTCTCTCTCATGTTCTTGACCTTTCCCGGCTGACCAGATTCAGCATTGGTGGTCCCAGGAAGAGAAGTCGGTCCTTGGCTGTTCATAATTTGTCCCAATTCCCTCCCATTCTCCCAGCTGACATTCATGATCCCCTACCCAGTGCCCGGCGTCAGGAATGCTGAGATGGGGAGGACGCTCTCAGGAGCTCTCTGGCTGCTGGGATGTGTCATGTGTCATGGGGCCTGGAAGTGGGAGTGACTCGCCCCTGTTAGGGTGGAGATGGTATGGGAGGTTTCTCAGAGCTGAGTTTAAGCCAGGTTCTGAGGCATGAATAGGAGGGTACCAGGCAAAAGAAGCAGCTTAAGCAAAAGCCGAAGCAGCACCTTTGGGGACTGGCCCAACCAGAAGTTGGGCAAAGAGAGGGCTTGCCCTCCAACCTGCATGCCACCAAGAGTCTGGGTCTTAGAATCCAGCTCTGAGGAAGGTGGAGGAAGGCAGTGCTCCTCCCTGCCCAGCTCCCTCCTCTCTCTCTGTCCAGTGCCAGGGTAAGGCGTTTCCCTCCATCCACCTGTGGACCCGGCTCCTGTCGGCTCTGGCTGGCCTCCTCTATGCCTCGGCCATTGTGGCCCATGACCGGCGGCCTGAGTACCTGCTTCGGGCCACGCCCTGGTTCCTGACTTCCCTGGGCCGAGCTGCACTGGACCTGTCTGTATCCACCCGGGACCTAGGGGGCTTGACTGCTTGTGTCTCATCTCCTCCCTGCCCCTGTGGTGCCCTCCCTCCCTCTTGCTAGATGGAGCTCTCTCCCAGGGGCCAGGGCCAAGATTTGAGGCCTGGGGCCCACAGATGCAATTGCAGTTATTTGCAATTTTGTATTTTGCTTCCTTTATGTACATATAAAAGAAAGAACGATCTCTTGGCTGGAGCTCTGTGCAGCAGCAAGGGGGAGTGTGCAGGTTCCTGGCCCTGGAAGCAGGGGACCCGGACACCAGTCTCACTGCTGCTTCTCCCCTGGGCCGGCCCCCACCCTCCCGGGAACCTGTTCTCCTCATCTTTGCCCTTTCTCACAAGGCTAGGAACGGGCTTTGCAAGCCGACCTGCCATGCAGGGCTAAGCATCCCAGTTCTCTTGTCTTTGGCACTGGAGCCTGGGCTGGGGACACAGATAAAAGCTGACAAGGGCTGCCCTTTGTCAGTGACTGCTGAGCACCTTTCTGGTTCCCCAAGGGGTGTTGCCTGATGCGCAGACACCCCAGTGGCCTTGACATGAGAGCCTCAAGGGCAAGCTAAGCTTAGACAGTGGGTAATTTGTGTATGAAAAACCTGTGGATTTATCAAAAATAGTTTAGAAATAGTTAAAAACCGTGATTTTTCTCATTAGCTGCCATATTAAGTTACCAGAAGTTGGTGGCTTGGGACAAAAGAAGTGTATTCTCACAGTTCCAAGGGCTACAAGTCCAAAGTCCACGCAGGGCCACGCTCTCCTGGAGGCTCTGGGGGAGAACCTTCCCTTGCCTCGTCCAGCTTCTGATGGCCCCTGGTGCTCCTTGGCTCTGGTAGCATAATTTTATCTCCTGCCCCAGTCTTCACAAAACCTCTTCCCTTCGTGTATCTCTGCCTGTCCTCTGCTCTTATAAGGACTCCAGTCATGGGACTAAGGGTCCATCCTAATCCACATGACCTCATCTTAACTATATCAGCAAAGACCCTTTAAAGAAAAAAAAAAAGATTTTATTTTTAAGTCATCTCTACACCCAACGTGGGGCTTGAACTCACAATCCCCAGATCAAGAGTTGCTTGCTCCATCGACTGAGCGAGCCAGAGGCTCCAAGCCCCTATTTTTAAATAAAGTCACTTTCTGAGCTTCCAGATAGATATGAATTTGGGTGGGGGTGGAGGGGCACTATTCAACCCACTCCGTGTACTGTCCCTGTAAGCCAAGCCCGTCAAGGAAGATGTTTTTCAAAATGCTTTTGTTGAGCAAGTATTTACTAAGTATTTACTAGATTCTTAGAGGCAGGGTCTTGTTGGCTGCTGGGCCCTGGTGGGGGAAATGTCAGACCCAGTTCCATTCTTAAATGAACATGTCTGTTCTGGGGCCAACCCAGGCAGGATCATCCCCGGGAGGGAGAGAGACCAGTCAGGGGGGCCCTCGGGGTGTAGAGGTGAAGGTAGCTGTGGGTGGCCAAAATGCTCTGCTTCCTTGGACCTTAACTCTCCCTCTCAGATCATATTCCTCTCCTGGGTGATGAAGAGCAAGATGAGACGGACCTTGGGATTTGCCCCTGAAGCCAGAGAGAGCCCTGACACCCAAGCCCTCTTGACCTGCGTGGAGAAAGAGGAAGAAAGCCAGGAGGCAAGGTCTCGCCAGCTGGAAAACTGCTGGTCCCACGGGGGTGCTGTGTGCGGAACCCTGGGGCTCCCTCGAACTAGGACAGTTGGTGACTTTATTTTTCTTTTAAAGATTTTATTTATTTATTTGAGAAAGAGAGAGAGACAGCGAGAGAGGAAACACAAGCAGGGGGAGTGGGAGAGGGAGAAGCAGGCTTCCCGCGGAACAGGGAGCCCGATGTGGGGCTCCATCCCAGGACCCTGGGATCATGACCTGAGCTGAAGGCAGACGCTCAACGACTGAGCCACCCAGGCACCCCAGTTGGTGACTTTAAAAAACTGTTTATGGAAAAACAGAAAAAAAAATGACCATTTTTGCCCAACACCAAGCGTACCTGGAATAAATAGGATCCTCTACTTTTCCAATTACAACGTATTTTTTAAGTTTTTTGATCATTTGATAAACTTTAATATATTTTTAGCAACATAGACGGAAGAGTCAAATGTCCGTGTATGCTCTTTGGCAATTTACCTCCTCATATAAGTTCCCGTACTACATAAATTAATAGGTTATTTAGCAATAACATGATTTTGCCCTCATAGTTTAGGAAAACATGTATTCCCACTTTCACGTGCATCTGTGACGTCCACATCATCACCATCACTAACACAGCCTTTTTTTCAGTTGATACTGCTAAAAGCTGGTCTTTCAAGGAGTTTGCGTAGCGTCCACCATTTACAGTTATGTCATGCCCGCATGCATGTTTGTCTCCTTTTACTGACTTGAGGAGGTGACCCCTGTGAGTAAGCAGAGCTTCTCCTAACTGAAGCAGTTTACCTTTGTCAAAAGTCCTCGGTTCCCGGTAACTGAGAAATTACTTCATAATACAACAGCGCTTATCAGGACTAGAACATAAAGCAGGTCCCTCTTTTCTAAGATAATTTCTTGAGGAGAAAAACCTCGCCTACTGCCTGGGCTCCTCACTTTTCTCGGTTTTCTCTCAGCATGAGTGAGACTCTGTGAGCGAGCTGGTCCACTCCTTCCAGCGTTCTCATTTGATACAATGGAATCTGACTGAGTCAATGAAACAGAAGGTAGTGGTGGGCATGGCCAAGGGAGAGGGGTTTACGTAAGGGCTTGGACCAGAGCTCCACGTTCCCATCAAGGCTCTAATGGGAGGTTATTTTCATTCCATTCCAGAAACTTAGGAAATTAGGTCCCCACAGGGAGCTAAAGTATTTAAAGAGAGCCCTGTGTGTCTTGGTGTTCTGAAGGGAGGAAGGGGAGCCTTTGCCATGTCTTCTGCAGGGCTTTTTTTTTTTTTTAAGATTTTATTTATATATTTAAGAAAGAGAGAGAGAGAGCATGAGCAGGGGGAGGGGCAGAGGGAGAAGCAGACTCCCCGCCAAGCAGGGAGCCCAATGCAGGGCTCGATCCCAGGACCCTGGGATCACTACCTGAGCCAAAGGCAGACACTTCACCGACTAAGCCACCCAGGCACCCCTCTTCGGTAGTTCTTTACAGCGATGGTTCTCAGCGTGTGGTCCCTGGACCAACTTCAGCCGTGAACTTATTGGGGATGCAATTCTAGGGTTCCACCAGCCCCACCAACTCTGAAGCTGAGGGTGTTCTAATAAGTCCATTGGGTGCTTCTGATGCACACTAACATCTGAGAACGATTGCTTTACAAAAGCATTTATTTAGTGCCTACTGCAGTGGTTCCCAGACTTTGCCACACTTTAGAATCATCTGGGGGGCTCTGAAACTCCAGGTCACATCCCTACCAGTGAATCAGAATGTCTGCTGCGGGGTGGTGGGCAAAGCTAAGCATCAGGGTTTTTTTTGTTTTGTTTTGTTTTGTTTTTAACATGCCGGGTGACTCCACTATGCAGCAAAATTTGGGAACCACTGGCCTACTGTGACCTCAAAGAAAGAGTTAAGGGGCACCTGGGGGCGCCTGGGTGGCTCAGTTGGTTGAGCGACTGCCTTCAGCTCAGGTCATGATCCTGGAGTCCCAGGATCGAGTCCCGCATCG